CTCGGTATTTTTTTTGTAGCTCATGTGTTTTGGAAATTACGCTAAGATACAAATTACTTAGTGGTTAAACATGAATAATATTTTTCGATCAGTTTTCTCTCCCTTTCGCCCTAACCTTCGGCCCAATTAATTGATAGTATTGCCATAACATATTTGATGTATATGGATGATATTAATATTTTTGCAAAATCCACAAAAGATCTTCAAAATCTTATCAATATAACGGCTCAATTTGGCCATGATATAAAAATGTTTTTTGAATGATATAAAAATGTCTACATATTAAAAATGGCAAAATAGATAATAGCATCAATATCGCTGAAAATAATCTGTTTAGTTTAATGGCATAAGATGAGACATATAAATATTTAGGTATTCACCATTAAATATTTTAAATCACGTTCAAATTAAAGAAGATCTTATAACGGTATTACTCAACAATTAAATTTAAAAAGAAATTTCATTCAAAAAATCTCTTTTAAAAGTCATAAATACTTATGCGATACCAGCCTTTGACGTAATAAAATGGACATGTATATATATTAAACAGAGATAAAAACAAGGACAACTATAACTCAACAAAATTGGGAAATGAGACAATTGTTGTTTTTTTTTTATTACCACAATTCATTATTAAATTTTTTTTTATTGTTTAAAGCTGATGAATAAAAATCAAAGCATAAAAAAAGTTACTGATACTTCTTTTTATGGAAATCATACATAAGGTTTTTACAAAAACTACATTAAGGTCCCAATTTAACACAGATCTGAAATTCGAAAAGCTTAAAAATAAGAACAACTACACTAGTAATTGTAAGTTTGTCTTTTATTTAGACTTCCAGATCAAGCTGATAGCACAAGGTTCTGTAAGTCTAAATAAACTCTTTACGCGTGGTGGGGGTAACCCTAGGGCAGAAGTTAACCGATTCATTTCCCTGTACTTAACGATTTTGCGCTCGAATGACAAACTCCAATAACTTGATCAGTATTTCCAGAATTAAGTGGATGGTTAACTCGTTCATTAGCGGCTTCGTCAGGATCTAAAAAGTATAGTTGCCCGTACAGTGAACGCTCAAAGACCCCAACATCATTTTAACAACCATAGCAAAATATTTTGTAGGGGCCAGGAATCGAACCTTCACGTCAAGATGCTCGAGTTTCGATCAACAAGTTTGCTCAAGAAACTTGTTGATGCTCGAGGCTTTAAGCTATGCGGAATTTCACGCGGTGAAGGCACAGTCAATTTAGCTTAGGGGCCAGATAGAGCGTCTGGAAACATGCGTACTCCGGAAGGAACAGGTTCGGATCCTGGCAACGACAAAAAATTGCGATATCTGTTAAGACTCAAGTTACACTAAGATAGCTTTAGTTATAGGCTAGGGTTTACTGTGTTCGTCTTTTAAAGTTAATTTATGTCCAGGTTTGAATCAGTCTCACCGTTATAAATGGCTGAAGAAAAGGTTAGAGGTATTCGTTTTCCAAAAGCCATGTATGTATATTTCTAAGAGCCGTGAAAGCTTAGTGTCCGCGCGCTCACCTTTAATTCAAAATGCTCCTGCAACCTGAGTTCGATCCCCGGTACCGGCACCAAGCCGCTAAGCTAAGCCGAAATGAAAATAAAATGTACAAAAAAATCACATAATTTACAAAAGCCCAAGAAAAAACAGTAGGTTAGAATAGTTTTTAATCTCGCAAAATGTTTTCACATCACTTGGGTGAAGACTTTATTTTTATACAACAGCAAAATTAACGAGTGAAATTATGAAGCGTAAAAATCTTGTTAGACCCTACCATTAGGCGTAATCAAGACTTGGGTATCGCTTCTCATGTTTTTTTTATCACATTACAGGACTTCTTAACAAGAGGCTTATTGTGATTCATTACCTGGCTCAAGTTCGAGCCTAATGACCCTAATTATATACCCGATAAAACGAAGGCAGAACTGATTCATTGATGATCATAGTGCCGTGATAGCTCTGTGTCCGGGCGCTCACCTTTAATTCAATATACTCGAGCAACCTGAGTTCGATCTCCGGTGCCGGCACCAATGAAGTTTTTAACAGCACACGCAGTGGGGCCGCGTGGTCGACTATGCCCTGATACCCTCTATATAGAGAAGGCCTTTGCTCAGCAGTGGGAGATGTATAGGCTGTTACTTTACTTTACTTTACTTTTACTGATTCATTACTACACTTCACTACTACAAATGAACTTGTAACCAGTACACAACCTACAACATTTCAGTATAAATATACCTAAATATTATAGGGCCTCGCAACAACTGAAATGAACAAGATAGAAACTTGGAAATATAAACAATAGAAAAATTTAACACTAGAAATAAGGACAAACTTACTACGCCATTGTTTCGCCTACAAAAAGTAAATAGGTCATTCATGGGGCAAGGTGTGCGCATGTATAATAAAATCTGTTGGCGCTGGCAACACTGTATACCGGATACGATGTTATCTACTCGAGCCAAGGGACACATGGTTGCATGGACCAGCGGTCACTTGGATTTCGGCTGCGTTCCCGGGCGGTGATATAACCACTAGTGCTGCTTGTCGTTATAATAGTTGTTAATATTCAAGTTCAGTTATAGTTAAAATATTAGGATCAAGGTAAAAACGTAAGAACTCTTATAAACCCCACAGTCGATATTAAGTGTGCCGCTTGATGAATTTAAACGTAAAATCAAAAGTCAACTTATGGTTAAAGCATCCGCCAGAAATAAAATAGACGCCAATGTGTGGAGTTAATACTGTTAATACTCACGTAGGGTAAAATAAGACTAGTATACCTGTATTTTATATTGTAAACTGATATCTTTGAATAAAAGCAACTGTTGAGTTTCTTGCCGGTCTCTTCTCAACAGAAACTGCTTTCCGAACCGGTGGTACCTTACGAACCTATATGTATAATTTTTTATGTTAAATTTGACGATTCATAAGAACGCGCAAGCGTCTATTTGAACTATACTACGCCCTACAAGTAATTTTTAGACATTTGTCAAGTAAAAATTTATCAATACCATTTTTCTTATTATTATCACGAATGCCGCGTCATTAACATTTTTAAATAAGCTTAGGAGTAAAACTAGGATTAAACAAAAAAAAAACTCAACCGATTATTGCTAGATTGACAAACTGCACTATATTCAAGACCACCGCTGGAATATCTACATTAACCTTCCACTTAAAAAAATAATCGCTTTACATATTCTCTCCGGCTTAACATGAAGAAAAGTTTAAACGGTTTAACATAAAGTTCGCCTGCAGAGAATTTAATTACAGCAGAAGCAATAGACGTCTAATGTTAGTCAAAGTTCTATTCCAGCGACCGCGAGTGGCCCTAAAATGAAATCAGATCGTTAACTAAGACTTGTTTAGCTTGGATTTAGGCTCACTAAGGCACTCACGGGGCAAAAATCTATCTACGTACTTTCTATTTCATTTTTAGCAATGCTTGGCGCATTCTAGTGCTATCCTTTACAATATGCAACCTTACAGGTTTTGTTCTTTCTCAAAAAACAATGTTTATCCCACTAATGTTTAACTTAGAGTAACCTGGAGGACCTTTTTTTTTGTAAATAATAAAAAAATAAATATAAAGAAAATGATCTGGTATAGAAAAAAAAAAAAATAAGTGTGTAAATGATCGTGATACGAACCGCGGCCATCTGTTTTGGGGCCGCCCGATTAACCGAGCTATAATAACATTTTTTTGCGGCGAAATTTAACGTCATATTCGAATGATATTTTTCATTCCCTGAAGACAGGGATAAAAGGACATTTTCTAAAAATGAAACCTACCTAGATCGATTTTTCGCCCCCGAATCTACGTAACACATACTAAATTTCATGAAAATCGCTGGAGCCGTTTCCGAGAGTCCGTATATATATATATATATATATATATATATATATATATATATGTATATATATTATACAAGAATTGCTCGTTTAAAGGATAATAATTAAATCTTATATTAACCCCAATAAATATTAGGCTTAAAATAACGTATAATCAAATTTAAGCAAACTCGGGACTGTTACATTATATACCCAAGAGTTGCTTTGCTCAAGTGAGTGCCGCTAATTATGCTACAAATTAAATTTGTTTGTTCAAATTACTTAACTGGTTTTCGGAATACCAAACTTTGTCTGTTATCTTTCATAAATAACGCCGAAGTTACGGTCTATTGTGGGCAAGAAAATTGTTGCCGGTAGAATATTTAGTTGTTCAGGGTTACGAAAATTTTATTTGTTGGTTGTTAATTGGGCTCTGTGGATTGTGAATGCTAGTTGAACTAGTCGAATTTTTGAAATCTAGCAAATATAGCTGCATATCGACACAAAAACAATTAAAAACAACACATTACTTCCGACTTTAATTTTGAGACTTATATAATATCCCCACTAAGTGATGGAAATTGTCATTGTAAAATCTTCCTTTTCAATTTTTAACGCATTTTATAGAAAATCTTTATTCTGCTCATTTTATAGGAATCTAAGAATGGAACCTAGGTTAATACTGAAAAGTAATCTTTGAAAATAAATTGAATCCCCCTATGCGAACAGGGCGTGTAATCTGACAGAAAATGACGCTGGAATTGAATTCAACAGACACCTCCATATAAGTTTTAAGTCCCGCTTAAACCGAATAATACCAAGGAGCCAAGGAACACTAGGAGGGTCTTCTAATTTCACGCACAGAGTTGAAGTTTAGTTCCAATTTTGAAACTGCGTAAGTTCTGAATTTAGCCATTTCGTTTGCGTTTATGAATGAATACAGTTTATAATATAAAAAATATAATGTTTAAAATATTTGGTCTAAACTTTTTTATTCCATATAAATTAGCAAGGCGTTCCAAATTACAAAAGAACAATTCTTTTTATTCTTGCATTTTTGCTATGCTTGTTCATATTACATGACTGACTAAGGAATTGATTTTATTTTATCACGAGACTCGCTTCGCTAGACGGTCACATTGTTTAGTCATGCCCGCCGCCCATGAACACCTGCAACACCCGAGGGCTAACAAATGCGGTGTCGGCCTTTTAAGAAAGAGTATGCTCCCTTCTTGATAATATAATAATTTTTTGAATAATTGACTAATCGACTAATTGAATGTCAGCACTATAATGTTTTCACTATAAGATATATTTGTTATAATACTTAATTAATTTATTCACACTTGAAATAAACATCTTAACGCTCCCGTCGCTATACATACTTGAGAACATCATGTAAGTACGAAATAACATACATCATTTTACAAAAAAACATACCACATCGCAACGGGGACGTGGTGACCACGTTGGAAATACCGAGGTTTAGACTAGCTAAAACGAGGAAATCGTTTCTTGGTAGATGTATTAACTTATATAATAGAATAGGTGACATCCACAAACAATTGAGTGTAAATAATTTCAAACATTTTGTAAAAGCCACCTTAATGGAAGGGGCTTATTATAATGTCGAGGAATACATTGAAAGATGTGTAGAAATTACTCTTGCTCTGCACGTGAAAGTCCCCTGGCTCCTGCTAAATTATAATAAAGTAATTTTGTGTATGTACCTAGATAGTTAAAAAAAAATACATATATGACCGCAGAGTTTCTTGCCGGTTCTTCTCTCTTGCAGGTCTAGTTTAGTGAACTGGTGGTAGTTTTTGACGTCCAATAAGAGCTTAAAATAAGCATATGTTGAATAAAGAAATTTTGACTTTGACTTTGACTCTGAAAAACTAAAACTATTAAAACCAGCATACAATATATCCTCCTATGAACCCTGAGGTTAAATTAAAGCGTTTTATGAGTACAACATAGTTAGGAAAGAAGTAGCTGATCTTATTTCAACTCACATTTTCCTCTTGCACTTGACATTTATGAACGATCAGTGAATTCGATCGGCGCGATGAGAATAATACAACTGTCAATTTTCTCGTTGCAAACGAGTCAATCGATTTTATCTGTAGCTCCCGGCAGCTTTGAGTTATTTATCAACAGAAATAAATATAAGAGGAAGTTCTCTATTCGGTTGTTTGTTTGTTTGTTGTCAGAACGTCATTTATGAACGGGTTTCCTGAATTATTTTTGAATTTGGTTCCGTTTAGCTTTCATTTGGTCCCATGACAATATATATACATTTGTGGGAAATTGGAAATGTATTGTGAGTGGGATAGCTGAACTCGGTTTCGATTTAAGTAAATAAAAATGTTATTTATTGATAAATCTTACTCAGTATTCTGTTGCTAAATTCACCTGCATAAGTTTTTAGGATTCCATACCCAAAGGATAAAACGAGACTTTATTAAGATGAACGAGGTCCGCACGTTGTCTGTCTGGTCTGTCCGTCTGTCACCAGGCTATCTCATGAACCGTGATGGTTAGACAGTTTTAAAAAAAAAAAATCACAGATGATGTATTGCTGTTGCCGCTATAACAACAAATACTAAAAAACAGAATAAATAATATTAAAGAGGGGCTCCCATACAACAGACATGTTTTTTGCCGATTTATAGGTGGAACGCGCTCGAAGGGTTCGGTACCCTTCGTGCGCGAGTCCAACTCGTACTTGGCCGGTTTATCAGATTCCTACATATTCCTAGACATTCCTACGCTCAGAATAGGGTACCCTAAAAGTAACACACTAATTTGTTATTTCGCGGTTCAAGAGAGCCATACTCGTAGTTTGTGAAATAAATTTATTACATTTTGAAGTTTGTAGAAGAATTGACGAAAAGTTCTTCACCACTATGAGGATTTGCACTTGCGTCCTTCGGGATGCACGCTCTAGCCATTGAGTTAAACGTAATATCATCCTATAAACAAATCTAGACCACTTTATACCACGTCTGATTGTTTAAGATCAGATATTTGATTGTTTTGTATCAACAGTTTGATTGTAATCAATTAAATGAACATAATTGTAGCAGTTGTCACATACAAACTTTAGTTCTCTCCGTCTAAATGCTCTTAATGTCTAAAATCTAATGCTTCTACTAATTGTAATAGACCACTCATTATGGTAAAAAAACAGATAACGATACTATCAACACAGAGATAAACTAACAGAAACTTCTTTCACATGCATTCCGCTCGCAGCAGTCGAGTCGAATGCACGCCTAGGCACGCGCTCGCTCTACCCCTGCCACCCCCCACCCTTGCCCGCTAGCCGGGCATATCAGCTTCCGCGTGCCGACTCGCTCGCCGCGGACGCTCAATCGTCGCGTTGCAGTTCTCACTGCGCCGACCAACGCGCTTAGCAGCGGTTCTGTTTCGAACGTCTAGTTGATTGATCAACCGCGATCAATTAATAGCGCGTTTAGGGCTAGTGGATACCACACGGTGCCAACGAAGCTAGCCGAGGCTTGCCCCGATTGCCTTGCGGTTCTCTCCTGAGAACCGCGAATTATCGGAGAGGACCTCCATCACTGGCCTTGGGTGTAGTCCCTAGTCAACGTTGGTCCACGTTTGGCCATTTAGCGCCCTCAGTAGTTTTAATTAGTCATAAGCACACACCCGAGTGCACAATAAGATCGGCACTCGGACGCACTAGGGCTACGCAACCTAGGCACTAGGAGGGATACGGGCACACACCCCGGCATCCCACCGGGTTTATTAAAAATAATAAGCCAAATTAGGTAAAAATGGCCGAAGTAGAGGCCATTTTTGCCATCTTAGCGTTCCTCCGGGAAAAATACCCGGAGTCTATCCCTGATGCCCTCCAGGTGCTGAAGGGACTCTCTAGGCCCTCTTCAAGGGCGCCTATCACGTCCGATGACGCTGCAGCAAGCTCCTCCTCGCAAGAGGAAATGGAGCTTGACTCGCCCCTCTCTCCCGACGCTGACGAAGGAGATTTGTTCACCCAAGTGGTGAACAAAAATAGGTAAAGGGTTGCCGGAGACCAGGGAGCAGGAATTGGCCTACGCGCGCAACCTTCCCCATTGATAGCAAGCCCCGGGGCGGCAGATGTGGGAACTAACTGCTGCCCCGCGGAGGGCTTGAGAGAGGTGCCATGCTCATTGCACCGACACGGCACCATATGGAGCACCCGGGGAGATGAGGCCTAGACACGGAAATATGTTAAGCTTTGGGGACATTATTTTGAAAGTACAGTATACTGTTTCAAATTTATATCATAAACTATTTAGGTTGATGCCAACTCATTCAAAAGACGCGTGACAAATCTATGCTTAGGTACCAAATTGGACGTTTATTAGTCTTATGCCCGTTTTCAATATCGATCCCTAACTATTAATTAAGGGATACCTTAAAAAACTGTAAGTACTAGTTTCCTTTTCACCATCGCTTAAATGTCACGCTTAAGACTTTAGGTGACTTACACGGTGGTGAAAACGAACCTTGCACTTATTTTTTTAGGTGTTGCTAGGGATCGATGCTGAAAACGGGGCTTAATCACATCTTTCGAAAAAATTCTCATCCCATCGAAGAATCATATTACAGACTTGTTTTAAAACAACAACCCAAAAAGCAGCAAAAAGAAAATGATTACTTTTATGGATTTGTTTATAAAAGTTACCCTTGTGTATCCCTTGGATACACTACATGTGATACCTTGTGATACACTTAAAAGTGGTAGGGCTACACAACAGTGGTCGTCGCTACGGAAAA